TAACTCTGAATTATATACATAATTTATTATGTGATAAATTGTATAAAGTTATATTATAATTGACATAGAACTATATAGTTTATGATGACAAAAAAAGATGACAAAAAAGAAATATATAGTTTACATATATGAATTTATAGGATATACATTTTATAACATGATAAATTGTATAAAATCATATTTGAGTACAAAGTTGATAAAATGTATAAAACCATTTAAGACAAGTAACTGATGGCAAAATAAGTTAATCATCGTATCAACTTGCGCAAGTAATTGATAATAAACTAAGGCAAGTTATTAATAAACGAATTAACTAATTAAAAGCCTTTACCAACAAGGTATATTTTTCCTAATACCATAATATGGTTATAAAATTAAAGAATAATAAATAGTTTTGATTTTGATATATTGTAAATCTATAGAAATATATAATAATTATGTTTTATCACTTATATTTATTATAGAAATTTGTATATAACCGATTTAATTCTAACATTAGTATTAGAAATATATACAAAAATGTTACACATATCATATTCTAACTCTGAATTATATACATAATTTATTATGTGATAAATTTTATAAAGTTATATTATAATTGACATAGAACTATATAGTTTATGATGACCAAAAAAAGGATAACAAAAAAAAGAAATATATAGTTTACATATATGAATTTATAGGAAATTGATGGATGTTTCTCAATGATTTAGCTTGCATGATAAGCTAATAAAATGATATGCATATGATATGATTTTAACTTGCGCAAGTAATCAATATTAGTAAGGTAAGTTAATAAAAATAAGTTTCCTAATTAGATACAAATTGTTAAATGTCATTAAATAATGTAATCAATATGATATCAAGAGTAAATGGTTTACCGTATTTGTAATAAGGAAACTTATTAATACATGTATTAATTAATATTCTTGTGCAAGTAATATTTAATGAGGTTAGTAATTAGTGTTGCTTTCCTATTAGGTTGTCGATGATAAAAATAAATCAAAAAGAAATTCTAAAAAAATCAACAATAAGATTAAGAGAATTCCTCTGAGAAGGCCTGTATGAGTGACATGTATCCAAGTAACTTCTCTTTTAATGTATAGGAGGATTCAACCAAACCCCATAAGAAGTAGCCTTTTTTGCTGTCTTCTTCCCTTTTTTAATAATTTTTGTTTGTTTTCTAGATCAAGAAATGTCCGAATATACATTTCTTAGAAAGATGCTTTCTTTCTCTCTATCGTGGACTCGAGTTTGTTCACGTGACAATTATCAACACTCATGTGGTTAGGTACGCCTAAAATACAGTTAAAAAAGCTGAAGACTTTGCTCTCAAAGAAGTCAAAAACAAAATTTGCTTTCTTTAGGAATGAATACTTGTGAAGTTTTCTTTCCCCTCGGTAACGAAACAACACAATCAAAAAGACTAATACAAAATGGTTGTTGTAACTCGCAGGCCAATAACCTGCACAAAACTCAAGTCTCTCTATAACAATGATAACTCTTCTACAAACACTCAACGAAACTAACCCAAAAAAACCTCCAAAACTATGGTAAGGTAAGAAGCAGAGCTCAAAAAAAATCACAGAACGAAGGCGACTTTCTCTTGAGATATCATCTGAGACGGACTCACTATCAATGGCTCATAATGATCTGCTCCACCACCACACCACCCTGTGCCTTTCATGAATAGAAACACTGGAGATTCAACAACCTCACTTCTCGGCTTATGTGGAAGAAAGAACACACAATTCTCTTCCTCCACCATCCCATCAGACCCATGCGCTTGCACCTATGATGATGACAATACACAACTTTAGTTCTCAATGTAATTTTAAAACACACAAAATAAGACCAATACTCACCACATAGATCTCTCGTTTAAACTCAGTAGCAAGACACTCAATCGCAATATCATCCCCAAAAGCAGCCGCATGCCCTTGTCTATTCTCATCAACAGATAACAAACCATCTTCCGTATACTGCAAGCTAATAATATCATACTCATCTTCTAACGACCCTGAAATCGACATGTACTTCGCCCAACTAAACCCATCGTTCACCGGAACACACCTCTCTCTATAAATCGACTCCGCAGCTATTTCTCTGCAATAACATAAACATCAGCTTCCGAAAACAGAGACCACCAGATTCTGTTCTGAAACAAAAAAAAAAGGACGAACCTTTGCATCCCAATTTGCATAAGCTCATCAATAGCGTTATCAAGACTCTCACGCTCCACCTTCTTAGCCAACAACTTCTCCTCCTGAACGATATGAATCCCCCACCCTCTCTTCAGATCCGGCGAGTACATATGCCTAACCGCCTCCTTAACACCCTCCTTCTCCTCCTCTCCCAAAGATCCGTAATCCTCGAGAAACCTCCTCACCGTCCTCGATCTCAACTCCCGCGCGTCGACCCCACGCGCCTCCATCGCCTTCTGCGACGCGGTGAAGAGGCAGTTCCCGTCGGAGGAGACCTCCCCGCCGTTCGAGAGGCGGAAGACGACGGATGAATCTTGTTTTCCCGGATGCTTCCAGAGGACGCCCTTTAGGTGGAGACCATTGAATAGATTCCTTTGACATCGTTAATATATACTGAATTACTTTCCTAATGGTATGAGATTGACATCTTTGGCATTTAATTTCCAGCTTGTTTCACAAGTTATCGAATATAAAGTTAGGTCTCTAATTAACGTAACCAAATATTTGAGATACAATTTAACGAATATTATAAAAGATTCGCAAAATTAATGTTACCTCTCTAATTAATATTCCCGAATATTATATAAGGCAAGTAATTAAGGTAAACGAATATATGAGATACGATTGTTAAACCATTTGCACGGCGAAAATTAAAAAAATACCAAAGAAAATTGAAAAAAATCAACCAATCAGATTGTCAGAATTTTTCTGAGAAGGCCTGTGTGAGCGACACATGTCCAAGTGACTTCTCTTTTAATGTATAGGAGGATAAGGGATATTAATGTAGATCATTTATTCTTTTGTTTATAAACATACAATCTTTTAAACTTATTATCAAGATTAAATTTATGATTGTTGTAATGAACTTTCTTAATGGGTCATACGTGCAGTGAGATAAATTAATTGGTATGTATAGTTTTAACCCCAAAAATTAAAAGATAAAATTGCAATTAATGAAAAATAAATTTCTCATGTAAATTTAGGAGTATTTTTGGAAAAGTTAATATTTTCATTAAAGAAAAAATACATGAATATTTATGTTTTAATAGCATAGATATAGTTTTTGAAGGGCTAAAGCACAAACATTTTGATTAATAAGGCTCTTCTTTACAGCACATAAAGTTCTCACCTGCTCATCAATTAGGCTTGGACATTTGAATATTCGGTTGGGTAATAATTCGAGTATTGTTTAAACTAGGGGTATAATCCACGCGGGTCTGGGACATAGTTGATGTATTCTATACTTTCATTATATATTTTGACGTTTGACATATAAGCTGAACCGATATGGTGTATAATAGTCTTTCATATTAGTTAATAAAATTCTAAAAATCCATATATATAGGCACTATTATGCAGTATTGTTAAATACCAAAGATTCTTCTCAATCTTCTCTAATTCTCATACATTTGCCATGGTAGAAATATTAATGAATCCGTTTTCAAACCACTGGACTGAGGGGATTTTATTTAAATTATAAAACCTTTCAAGTAACTATTATTTTGCATCCCTGATTTTTCATTAAGTTTTTTATTTCAACCTTATTTTTTTCATTAATTTCGTGTAATAGCATTGAAATAGAATAAGTATTGCAGGTGAAAAGCATTTTTTGACAAACTCCCTATTTAATTTATACTTTCATATTCATTTTTTTCAAATTTAATCCAATTAATTGCAAATTCATAAAGTTTTATTTCATATGATTTCATCTTGATTTCATATTTATCATACACAGCAACATCTGTTTTTAGGCCTACAGTGACCCGAAGAATAACCCCATATATTACAAATCTCAAAGCAGCCTTCTTCTCCTTTATAATCACACGGCTCTGGGTATCGACAATATTCCGTATCCTCCTTTATTTTATAACCTATTTCAAAACAATTGTTGCCAGAATGTATATTAGTTGTCATTTCTGTAATTAAATAGGGGGTATATTTTACCTGAAGTACTGGGAATTGGAGTAATACAATTTGCACAAGATATGATGAAAAAAATAGTGAAAACAAACGCGATTAAAGTCTTCATGGTGATGGTAGTATTTTCTTAGTGTTTCTGTTTTTTTTTCTGATGAATTTTCATTAGTTTTTTTCATTATATATAGTACCTCAAACAGGCATAACATAGAAATTAAGTCAGATAGATATTTTCTTGATCAAAGATGGAAAGAATATATTTCTCAATTATTTATATACATATTTGTAATGAAAAGAACAATTACATCACATCTTTTTTTTGTCCGCAATTACATCACATCTATATTATTAAAAAGGAATCATTCCCAAAAATCTATTTAAAAAAATATCTGAATCTATTCATTTCTTAGTCTAACTGTTAAATCCAACTAAATATTATGGTCCGGGATCTTCTTGCACAAAATCCTATTTTGGAATGTAATCCTTTTTCGAGTTTGATCTATCTGATGTGTAAAACTAATGGTGGGCAAAAAAAAAAACCAACCGAATCCGGTCGAACCAAAAACTGATCAAAACCAAACCAAAGTTAACTATCAAATAGTTTGGTTTAAGATTTTTACAACCTGAACCAATCGAATTGAAACTGATCTCAACCAAACCAATTCAAGCAAATCAAACCGAAATACTCATGTGTTTTTGTTATTATTTGAATTAAACATACAAACAATATACAATAAACTAAAATCTTAAGACTTAAGTCACCATTAAATTTATTAAGGATGTTGAGTTTTTTTTATTGCAATTTTTTACTTAACTTTGGTTTGATTGTGTTCTTCTAACTTTTTTTTTATTTTTTAAGAGTTTTATTTTAATTTTATATTGGATTTAATTTACATAATTTATTTCTAGGAGGCTTTATTAACGATGTTTTTTTAATCTTCTATTTTTAGTTAACTTTGATTTAACTGTGTGCTTATAAAATTTTATGTTTCCTTTTAGTGTTTTTGTTTCAGTATTATACTGGATTTAGTTTAGATATTTTATTTTTTCATAGTCTTTCATGACCATACATTTATGTTTTAAAATATGTTTTCTCTTAAAATAACTAAACTAAAAGAACCCGATTAAACCAAACCGAAACACAAACTAAACCGAATACAAATCAAACCGAATATAAACCAAACAAAATATAAACTGAACCAAAACCGATCGGAAAAAAAAACTAATTATGATTTAATTTAGTTGAAAAAATCTAGAGCCGAATTAACCAAACTGAACTGAACCCAAGCCGAACCGATAAAATAATCAAAGTGCTCACCCCTATGTAAATTAATTTATATTACTCGTAGATATTTATACTGATATGAGTCGTTGCTTTTGATCTATTTATATGTCCTGAGAAAAAAATTATTAGATATCCATGGGTTATCTTTTCTTTCAATAGATTGGTCGGAATCTTTCCATAAGTTTAAGGCACTTTTATATTAATAAAAAATCAAAAGAAATTCAATACTCTAAGTTTAAGACACTTTTATATTAATAAAAAAATCAAAAGAAATTCAATACTCTCTTTTTTTATATTAAGTGTCACTTTCTATTTTTATTTATTTTAAAAGTGTCATTTTACAATCCCAATGTAATTTTATTGATTAAATTCATCTTTTACTATTTTGAATAATCAATAGATTTTTATTTAATCATTTTTATTAATTAATCACACATTAAATAAATGCATATTTATCTATTATATAATTTTCTTAATTTCCATGAAAAATACCAAGTGACATTTAATATGAAACAATGAGAGTATTGGTTTTTATGATTTCCCGTTTCTGTGCAGTCCAAAATTTCTTCATTTAAAGCTTATATTAATTTGGGGGTAGTTCAATTAAAAAAAAAACCATCATACTTAGATACAAGCGCTTCAAAACCCCCATTCAAATGCAGTCATTCAAAAAACTATATTTTTGGCAAAACCAGTTCAGATATTTATTGTTTCTTTACAAATGATCTCACTAATAATAAAAATAAAAATACATCGTCAATAACCAGATATTCCAGAGGAAATATTATTAAGATCATTTTAAAAGTAAAACTTAATTTTCCTCTAAAATGGAAAAATTCTATAATAGACTTGAGTATACTTCAATCATGCTCTATTGTTTTCTCTAATACTGGGTTACAAATCATTATTTAATATTGATGAACAATTCCACGAATAATGATTCCATGATGAAAATATACTCGACATATGGTTATGTATGTACGACATACTCATTGAACATATTCTCTTTGCAGAAGATAACTACAACAAACACATCTACATGCAATATATGGAACCTCCAATAAATTTGCATCTTATAATCTAAAACAACAAATTGTTTTGTCAAAACATTAGAAAATATCACATCATCAATAATTAATATAAAATAAATAATTTACTAAAAAGTAAATTATTAAACACTATCTTGAGATATATAATGATTTTTGAAAATTTCATAACAAAAACAAAAACAATTTTTTTTTAAAGAGTGTAAAAATTTCAAAATATTACTATAATGCAATTCTGATATGGATTGTCGATTTTCAAATTAAAATGATTTTCTCTTACCATATATTTAAATTGCATATTTTTTTAAATGGCTTATCGTGGCGACTGATGATCCGCACTTTATCACCAAACTTTTTTGTTTATATGTTTCAATTTGAAAATACAAAGATTTCGACCTGTGTTTTCAATTATGAATTAATTTATGGCTGACAATTTATAATAAAACTATAACTTTTCTACTTTTAAATTTTTGTATATAATTTATGGTTGAATTAATATACATAATGTATTTTAGTTATTTTTAGCTGAGATAAAACTTTGGATCTTTAAGAAGATTTTAACATCTGATATATTCATTTTTTCTTCCAGCTTAAAGTTAGATGATAATCATTTATTAGAAACATTAATTATTTTTTTTATAAGAAATGTAAAAGTATTTTGATATTGATTATAAACTAGTGGTTTGTCAGTGATACGCGCATGAATCTATCCATTTTTTGTTATGTAATTGTACGTTAATATTTTTGAGTATATTCTTATTTTTTTTTCACGAATTTTTTTTGGTCAAAGGTTTGTTATGAAGATAGTATTATTTTTTGTTTTTGTGTATGTTGTTAAACTTGTGAACATGTGCAAATATGCATAGTTTAACATATATATGATCTGAAGTTATTTAAAAGTTTGTCATGTGAGTCCTGAACGGAAGTCATTTATCTAATAATATTAAGAGTAATTGCAACCTATATACAAGGAAAATGTTGATATTAGCGATATACCCTTTTTTGTCCTTTTGTGATTTTTGTGTGCATTGTCCTGACGATTTTACCCCTATTCTAAAGGAAGTCATCGTTTGTATCGATAGCCAATTCAACCTTCTTGTTTTCCACGTGATTCATCTTTTTATGAAACCGTGACAAGTGTCATACATAACTTCTTTATGTTTACGATTTTTATTAAAATTTTCAGAA